AAGACAAACAGTAGGTTATAGTGTTTACCATCTTTTAAAAGACCCCCAGGTTGTTTTGTACTACTATCTTTTGATGTCAAACTGCAATTCCAAGGTAAAATATTCCATGTAGTTACGTCAGAAAAAATGTTTTTAATTTTCGTATTCATCTCCTTTTTTTCTGATTGTAAAAGCAATACACTAATTTTTAAGTAAATGAAAAAATGAAATGTATTTTTGGAGGAATTGTGATTCAGGTGGGTTAGATCACAAATAGGATTATTCATTAGTATTGGATAGTTTTTAATTAACATCTACTGCACCTTGTGGGGAAGAATTTGTTTTTTGATAGTTGAGAGTATGCCAGGGATCAGAATCCTCCTTCCAAAAAAAAAAAAAAATCATTTTGTGGGGTTTCAGTTGAATAATGACATTTCCTTTTCTGTAGATCATTGGAGTAAATTTAGTTTTTAAAATGTTTGCTTACGTTTTAGCATTTAGAAGTGTTTATATTCCTGTCAATTAGCAAGAGTAATAAAGTCAGGAAAAAAATGACAAAGATTCTGAAGAATTAGAACTTTTAAGTTTCAAGTTATTACATGAAAAGAGCTACAAAATTGCTATTTGTGTGTAACAGAGGGTTCCATTTCACAGAATAAATTTTTTTTTTCATTATATAGGATCAGTCTCTCTGGTTTCTTAGGTGTAGAAAAACCAAGGATGAGAGAAAAGGGCTGAACTTAAGAAAACCATGCCAAAAAACATAAAAACCCCTTACTATTGAAAACTGCAGACATATGCAAAAGTAGAGAATAGTGAACGCAACCCCTGTGTACTATATTCATCACCTCACTTGAACAGTTAAAAACTTAAGGCCGGTTTTGTTTAATCTGTTTTCTGGTCATTTCCACCCTTCCCATTATTTTGAAGCAAATCCCAAACATTGTATCATTTTATCCATAAATGTATGAGTGTATCTCTAAAATGTAAGAACTTTAAAAAAGTAATCATAGTACCATTATTACACCTAAAAATTATTATAAAATATCCAGTGTTCATTTTTGTCAATTGCCAATTTCTTTTTTTCCAGTTTGTTTGAATCAAGTTCCAGATAAAGTCCATATGTTATGATTGGTTCGTATATCTTTTAAATCTTTTTTAATCCATTGGTTCCTCCTCCATCTCTTTTTCTTTCCAATTCATTTCTTGCAGGACTTTTGTCCTGTAGAGTTCCCCACAGCGTGAAGGAAAGGGGAAGATGCCAATAAAGCCCGCCATGACTCCCTTTTAGACTCTTCCGCTACTACTACCCATTACCTTCAAGTTGATTCTGACTCATAGTGACCCTATAGGACAGAGTAGAGCTGCCCCATAGGATTTCCAAGTAGCACCTGGTGGATTTGAATTGTCAACATTCTGGTTAGCAACTGATCTCTTAACCAGTGTGCCACCAGGGCTTCTCAAGCAAGGGAAGCACCGGGAAGATTCTTGCCTGTAGGAATTAGTACAATTCTGAAATCATAATTCAGGTTTAGGTTGCAATAGCCATGGGAAGGAAATATAAAAAAGGACTTGCAAATTCTGGTGCCCTTCCCAGTACACTTTTAATGGCAATAATATAAAGTACTGTATTTCATACAGTACAAAAAATATATAAAAAATACACTCAGAGTTTTTTACCAACCTTAACTGCTATCCGAAATAGTTTTATGTGACACCCAGTGATAAACATACCTTAATACAAGAATACCAATATAAGGAAAACCCCAATCTTGAAAGTTTACTCTCAAGGCTCCTCCTTTAGCATGACTCTTATAAGCTCTTTGGTAAATACAAGTCTAATATACTTAAATAGTACTTTGATTTCTTGTCTAAGTCATACACACACCACCACCACCCCCTGCTCTGGACTATGACAACTCTGGGAATTTGGACTACACATGACTTCAGTTTTAAGATTTTAAATCTACTGTCAAGAGTCAGGGAATCCCTATGTCCTTTCTGAGTCTTTAAAATCAGTAGCCAAGAGTCCTACCATATACTCCTCTCCCCCACAAAGTTAGTAGATTTTACTAAAGACGAGGAGAGGGTCTAGTGGGATTTTTATTCAGATAATCAGGTAACTTAGAAACCCAAATTAGGTATTTCTACCTCCTGATGCCCCTTTCTCTAACGTCATAAAACTGGGGTTTTACTAAATTCACTGATCTTAGCTTCTCTTCTCCTTTGTTGTCTTCATTTCATCTCTCAAAATTCTTCCTGTGTTAGAGTAATTCAGCTCTTCAACTTAGATAAGCAAATCCATCAAAAAGTCGTTCTAAGTAAGCTAGATTACTAGGATCTTCTAAAAATTAAACACTTATGCTCATCAAAAGACTTCACCAAAAGAGTAAAATGAGAACCTACAGACTGGGAAAAAATATTTTGGCTATTACAAATCCAACAAAGGTCTAATCTCTAAAATCTGCAGGAAAATCCAGCACCTCTACCAAAAAAGACAAATAATCCAATTAAAAAATGGACAAAGGAAGTGAACAGACACTTCACCAAAGATGTTCAGGTGGCTAACAGACACATGAGGAAATGCTCACGATCACTAGCCATTAGGGAAATGCAAATCAAAACCACTATGAGATACTGTCTCACCCCAACATTACTGGCTTGAATCAAAAAAACAGAAAATAACAAATGTTGGAGAGGCTGCAGGGAGGTTGGAACTCTTATGCACTGCTGATGGGAATGCAGAATGGTACAACCATTTTGGAAAACGATATGGCACTTCCTTAGAAAGCTAAAAGTAGAAATACCATATGATCCAGCAGTCCTACTTCTAGGAATATATCCTAGAGAAATAAGAGCCGTCACACGAGTAGACATATGCACACCCGTGTTCATTGCAGCATTGTTCACAATAGCAAAAAGATGGAAACAACCTAGATGCCCATCGACAGATGAATGGATAAACCAACTATGGTACATACACATGATGGAATACTACGCAACAATAAAGAACAATGGTGAATTTGTGAAGCATCTCACAGCATGGATGAATCTGGAGGGCGTTATGCTGAGTCAGATAAGTCAATCACAAAAGGACAAATACTGTATGAGAACACTACCGTAAAAACTCATGAAAAGGTTTACACAAAAAAAGAAATGATCTTTGATGGTTACAAGGCAGGGGAGGAGTGGGGGTGGAAAAACACTAAATAGTAGGTAGATAAGTGGCAATAACTATGGTGAACAGTAAGATTGTACAGAGTACTGAGGAAGCCAGCACAACTTGTTTAGGGTAAGGTCATGGAAGTTCCATGGACAAATCCAAACTCCCTTAGGGACTGAATTGCTGGGCTGTGGGGACCATGGTCTCAGGGAACATCTAGCTCAATTTGCATAACATAGTTTATAACGAAAATGTTCTACATTCTACTTTGGCAAGTAGCATCTGGGGTCTTAAAAGCCAGTGAGCGGCCATCTAAGATGCTCTAAACTGGAAAACTTGGAAAAGGTGGACTGAGGCTGGAGCTGGAAATGGAAGGGTGATGGGCCATGTAAGATAGTTTTCTGGAAGATTTGTTAACAGTGTGGAATCCTGGCTCTTGGAGGTTCATTCTGATTTAGTGTGCCAGAGGCCTAGGAATCTGCCTTTGTAACAGGTGCATCAGATGATTTTGATGTAAGTGGTCATCAGAAAACACTGATGCTGTGGAGGAGAGATTGCAGACTGTTTGACTAGCTTGATTTACCCATTTATGTTTCTTGGTTCCTGATAGTAGTTGCATTTGTGGTCCTTTATAAACACTGTTTACTTAAAAGTGATACATGTGTATAGTGGTTAAAAAAAAAAGGCCTCAACCATTTTAGAAAGGAAAAAATGAAGAGTAAATCTCTATCGCCCTTTAGCCAGTCTTCCTAACTATGAGAGGTTTTTGTGTATTCTTCAGAGAGAGAGAGAGAATGAGTGAGTGCGTGTGTGTGTGTGTGTGTGTGTGTGTGTGTGTGTGTCGGGGGGTGGATTTTAAAAAATTCTGTATTTTTTGTTATCTAGAACTTCAAACAGAAACAAGTAGAGGGACTACTACAACCACTCAGTTCAATTGAGGCCCCTGGCTGTGCTGTGGCACACTGCAAGAATTTTGAGATCTCAGGCTGCTAGGCTCTGCCAACCCATCATTTTGAATTCTTGAGACCTGCTTCTACTCTTTTCTTATGGGGTAATGTGGCCCAGCTGTTCTTTGGACTAGACAAGGTTATTACATTTTCTGCTTTAAGCCACATTTATCTTGAGGAACTGAGGGTTTTCTCCCTTAGTGGGGGGCGGGGGACTCAGTTGCATGATGCTATTTGAGTCTCTTTTTTTTGGTCCACACAGCTATTAAATGAGCTTAAGTGCCTGATGTTAAAGGGCTTAATTCAATTGGAGAAAGTTCTTGGCCTGCAAGAGTTGAAACAGCTGTTAGGCCACAGAAGTCATTCCGTAATAGAAACTGTTTCTTTGTATACTAGCCTGATTCTTATGTATTCTTTTCTATATTTAGGAGAATATTTTAATAATACCTAGTAGAGAAATGCATTGTGTTAAGAGCTCTTTGAAAAATTAAGAAAGTCTTTATTTCCTTTCTCGAATGTACTATTATTATGTACTATTAAAATTATTAAAATGAAGCATCAGTTTGTAATATAAAGCTATCTGGTATTAGGAAAGAATAAAAAAGTTGAAGGACTTGACTGTAGTTAAAGGAGACTGAAGAGACGTGACAAGTAAATGCAGTGCCTGGTTCTTGATTGGATTGTGGGTCAAAAAGAGAACAGCTGTAAAGGATGTTACTAATACAGTTGGGAAGATTTAAAGATGGCGTGTATATTAGATAATATTGTATCAAGGTTTAATTTCTTGAGCATGCTAATGCTGTTGTAAGGATCCCTGGTGGCACAATGATTAAGCACTTGGTTGCTAACTGAGAGGGCAGCTGTTAGGACTCACCCAGTGGCTCGCAGTAGAAAAGACCTGGCGATCTGCTCCCATAAAGATTACAGCCTAAGAAACCCTATGGGGGCAGTTGTACTCTATCCTATAGGATGGTCATGAGTTGGAATCGACTCAGCGGCCCACAAGAACAACAGTGCTGCTGTGTTGTATAGGAAAATGTTCTTGATCTGGAAATAAACATGCTGAAATATTTAGGAGTGGTGTTTTATCTATAACTTTAAATGAGTTAGAGAAATTATATACACACCGCATGCATTTACTTTATCTTATATTCATAAATAATAGATGAATGTAGGTGAAGGGCATGTGGGTGTTCTTTATACTATTGTATCCTTTTTTAAGTTTTGAAAATTTTCTAGATTAAAAATTGAGGGGTCGTTTGGGAAGCAGTGGAGAAGAGTTAATGCTTCATTATGTACTGGATGTGCATCTTCTAAATGTCAGACCTATGAATAAAACAATGCTTGGAGGTGAGATGTGGCAAGAGTTCATTCATTTGTTCATTGAGTGCTTAAGTGTTTTATATTTCTTACCTCGTTTTACCCTTACAAAAAGTTTGTTGTAGGAAACGGAGACACAGAGGTTAAGTAATTTACTAATTATTTGAAGGCGGACTTTTTGATTCCACAGCTCAAACTTTTAATCACAGAACTACTAGGATGGTAGGTTGGAACCAAATTGTGCAGGGCTTTAAATTCCATGCTAAGGAATTTAGACTTTTATCCTTTATTATTTTACTATTCATTGTGATCTCAGATCTCCAGAACGTTACCTGGGAGCTTGTTAGAAATGCAGAAACATAGGTTCTACCTAGGCCTACTGCATTTTAACAAAATCTGGGTGATTTTTCACACTTAAATTTATGTTTGAGAACCACTGTCCATAATACTCTTATTTTTGTGTCTCTGGTAGAGTTGAGAAGTAATTTTGGGTGTAGTTTGAGTTTCTAATCAACATAGTATTTTCTCAGTTGGGGAAAGGTTTAGAATTCAACAGTAATTTATAAATTAACTTCAGTAACACATTCATACCAAATGGATTGGTAAACTGAGGGCAATTTGTAGTTGATGGGATAGGAAGCCGCTCTTCTGTATATTGTCGATTGAAGTAGGGGAAATATATTAAAAATCAGTACTTGGTATAGTTTTACTAACCATAATTATTTTAAATTTTCTATATTTAGGAGAATATTTTAATAATACCTAGTAGAGAAATGCATTGTGTTAAGAGCTCTTTGAAGAATTAAGAAAGTCTTTATTTCCTTTCTCGTAGATATTGAAGCACAGATTCGAGAAATTCAGGGCAAGAAGGCAGCTCTTGATGAAGCTCAAGGAGTGGGCCTTGATTCTACAGGTTATTATGATCAGGAAATATATGGTGGAAGTGACAGCAGATTTGCTGGATACGTGACATCCATTGCTGCAACTGAACTTGAAGATGTAAGTTACAGATTGTACAAGAGACAAGCATTTTTTTGAGGGAGAGCAAGAAATATAAAGGAATTTTTTGTTTGAGTCATCTGGTTTAATCTAGGGCTTCGAACCACCCCAGATATACTGAACCAGAATCTACAGTTAAACAAGATCCCCAGATGATTCTTATGTATAATAAATTTTGGGAACCACTGCTCTCCTAGAGGTTCCCAGAATTGGTCGCTAATCAGCAGCATTAACATCACCTGGGAACTTGTTAGAAATGTAAATTCTCAGCAGGGGTTCAAACCAGAACTTTTTTTGTGAGGATAAAATTTTTGTAGGTGTCCTTCCTGTCTGAGTTTCAGAAACTTCACTGAAAGTGCTCAGTTCTGAGTTGTTAAGTTAAAGACTAGATTGTTGATCCAGCAAAGTACCTACAAATCATAAACCAAGGTAAAAGTAAATCCCCACTACTGAGCTCTATCTAGAGTAGTAGCCCATGTGAGAAGTGACTTGATTGTAAATTGCTGTCTGTCCTGGTAACTTTTGATTTCTGACTTGATACTGTTTTCTTCTCCCCTTGGCATCTTAATATGAATAGGATGTTTCTTGTTAACTGATAATTCATAGACTTTGTATCTGTTTCAGTTGCTCTGGAGGATGACGACCTCTCATTTTGAAGTATCTTTCTCAAAATGTTTTCTATATAGTCCATAATTTATATTTTGTAAGACCATCCCAAACACCCACATTTGGTGAAATATGTATTCATGTTTGTATGAGTCAAGCATAAGGCAAACTATTTTACATATATAGGTTATCAAACTGCTGGTTATTTTTGTATTTTACAAAATACTTTTGCAGAGTACAAAAAACCATTCAAGCCACATTTTATTTTATATTTGGCACTTTTTTTCTTTTTGAGGAAAGCTAAACTTAGTCCCAAAGTTAAAATTTATGGAAGCCAGTCAGGGACTAGTATTTTGGACTTTCATACCCTAAAATGATGGCTATGTGTTCCAGAAGCTGAGGGGGAAATTTTTAATTTTAAATAAAATTTATGAGGTGTTAAGCTCTTGAGAGTTACCCAGCAGTGCACTTTTTATATTAGTAACGTAATATAGCATAACACTATTCTGTTTAAACATATTACCAGGGAAGCATACATTTAAAATTACTTTTACTTGTTTCTGTAGTTGTTAAATCATGTTAAAAACATGACTTAAAAAACAAAAAGGAAGGTGAGAGCTTTAAATAAGAACCTTTTCTTTTGTAGTGCCAAACTGAAAACAAATTTCATAGTTCCTTCTGTGAGAAAACACGCTCAGGTTTTTCTAGTCCATAGCTATCCATAGCTACTTTGTTTTAATTGACTTGCAGAAAACATTCCTTGTTTAATAATTTTAAAAGGATAAAGAGAATTAAATTTAATTTCTTTAATAGCTTGGATTGGAAAGAAAACCTAATAGTTTTTACAAGTTTTATGAAGGAGGGCCTAGACATAACACTGTCAGCCTGTATTTCTGACACAGTATTTCGTTTTGAATCTTTATTTATTCTTTCTGATTGTCAAGTTAGACATTTTTGCTTACGACTTTTTTGGGGGGTTTCATTGCAGGATGACGATGACTACTCATCATCTACAAGTTTGCTTGGTCAGAAGAAGCCAGGATACCATGCGCCTGTGGCATTGCTTAATGATATACCACAGTCAACTGAACAGGTGACTTCTTTTGAAACTTTTATTCACCTGAAGAAAAGTGATTGTCTCAGTTCCCATGGAAACTCCACAAGTTTCATAATCAGTTTTTTATAATGGTTTGGGCAGTGTTGACTTGGGAGAATTACAAATAATACTTACTTTATTTTATAAAGGTAATTGTCTCAGGATACATGAAGTATGGAAGTGTGGACATGTATATCATCTCATTTCCATATGCCTTATTTTTTCATATTAACATTTACCTATAAAATACAGAATATTTTATTAGTAGACATTTATTAAGCGTTTTTCCATGTTTTATAGTGTTCTTATTTTTATTATATTCTGTATGGTTATTTAATAAAGCGAGAGTAATGATTGAGACATGCTTCTTTTCAGTATGATCCATTTGCTGAGCACCGACCTCCGAAGATTGCAGACCGTGAAGATGAATACAAAAAGCATAGGCGGACCATGATAATTTCCCCAGAGCGTCTTGATCCTTTTGCAGATGGTAATTCTTTCCCACTTTTCTATAAGTATTGAGAAATTTATTTGTATTCAGTTGTCTTTAGCCCTTGATTTTTTTTGGCATGCTTACGAATTTACTTTTCTTTTTAAAAATCCCCCTTATTATAGATTTGTATAGATTTGGTTGAAGTCACAGGTGCCATATTCTTCATCTTTATAATACAAGTTTTCTTTCCAGGTAGAAGGACAAGAAAATAATGAGCCAATGCCATAGAAACGCAAAGGGTTAAAGGTTTTTCTTTTACTTTTGTTTTGGGTACGCGTACTATACTTTGAACAAATGTGTTTCTGCTCAAAATACTTTCAAATTATTGGAAGTTTTCATTCCAAATCCTAGATTTTTAGGATTGTTACTTTTGAGAAACAGTCTCACAGTAGAGCTCCCCTCATGTTGCTCTAAATAGAACTTAGTAAATGCACCTACTTTGCTCTAAGCATACTTAAAGATAAAAGTATATATACAAAAACTGATATTTTTAATAGTTGGAGTCTGTTTTGCTAATTTTAGTGTGCAAGTCCGCACAAGGGGCAATAGTGAACCTGATGGAAGCTTTCCTCAGGTGAGTGAGTTTCACAGTCAAAATTAGGTGCCCGTTTCTTAAAATTAGATTTTGCTGCAGGTGTACAAATTAGACTTTCAGCCTGCATGAATTAGTAGGGATATTTTTTTTTACTTGCTTAATTGTAATTGATTTAAACATGTATGTCAGAATTCACAGGCCCATACTAACTGTCCTTAATTTCTTTCCTACAGCAGTACTGCTATATGCCAGTCCTGTCTGCATTCTTAAGGGTGCAGTTCAACACATCCTCTCTAGATTATGGTGAAAAAGTATTCCAAAGGAAGTCTTATCAGAGCTAGTGTCAGAAAGAATGACACTGCCAATTGGGCATGATCTTCAGTATAGGAAATGTCTTAGAATTTTATTATTATTTTTTCCTAAATCATGATGATGCTATACTTACTTGTATAGCTAATTATCACATATTCTAAAGCATAGTGTGCCTCTGTGAATCTTGTTATATACAGTTTGGGCTTCTTTAAAATATTTTGAAGTTTGAAAAACAAGTACTGAAACTTCAACCAAGAGACTAACACATCTCTTTGTACACCACTTTTCTTCTGTGTGCATCATAATAACTGGTAGAAGTAATGTATTTCAAGTAATGTTTCCAGTTGTAGTTTATACTTTCTAAGAATTAAAGTATGTTTCTGGGTCAATAAAACTTTAAAAAAAGCACGAAGCCCTTTTTAGTAACATGACATCAGAATAAGATTATAGGTGTATTTTTAAAAGATTTTCTAAACTATAACTTTTAGAATGTTGTATGACGAACTTATCTAGGCATAGTTACTTGTAGTCAGGATTTTAACGAGCTTGCAACAGGTAATGTTTTGAATATAAATATCTTTCCAAAGTGTTACTAATGGTAAAGAGATAATTTTCTAGGCTTCTATTCTGCTGCTTGAAGTCAGAACTGCTGATGGAGACAAAGGCACGAAAGTGTACGTATTCCGGATTAGCAACCCAGGAACCCATCACTTCTGAAGACTCTAAACTGTGCTGTCATTTTGTTTTTATATGCATTAAAATATTTGTTTTAAACTGCTGTAGATATGTTTGTGTTCAAACAGGTTAAATTGATCAGCAAAACTCAATAAAAAGTAAGATGTATAATTATTAAAGTTTTCCATCAAAAATAAATTAAATGATTATGGAATAACGTAATATTAGAGCAGGGAAGATAAATCAACTGAACCTAATTATCCTTTATTTATTGTACTCTTGTCCTGTTGCTGTTCTTTTCTGCAGGAGGGAAGACCCCTGATCCTAAAATGAACGCCAGAACTTACATGGATGTAATGCGAGAACAGCATCTGACTAAAGAAGAGGTTTGTGAACCTTCTTATTTTAATGGTTCTGAAAGAATATAAAGAAAGTTGAGATTGAGAGACTTATATGTTTCGTAATTTACTGCACAAGTAATGTTATAACAGTATTAATAAAAATTAAGTTGATAAAGACTCTCACCCAAAATTCTACCACCTTGCAAATTGAACTTTTCATATTTCTATGTCCGTTTTTGGTCCCTGGCCCCTTGGCCATAATGCATACATCTGAATCTTGGAGTGGATGTATGGGGGCCGGGGGGAGGAGGGTGATGGTGAGTGTCTAAAACCTATGTGTAAGGGAAAAGTCAAATAATTATTCCTTGAAAAATTCCTAACCCTCCCATAAGATTCAGTATTGATATGGGTGGAAAATTTTGAAGGATTCCAGAGATTACCCCATTTTGTTTTAATAATAAACCCCCATAACTTTATTATGTATTAATAGATTTGTTTGTTACATGAATTAAGTGGGATGATGGAGCCCCATTTTAAAATTTTAGGGTAAGTTAATTGTAATCATAAGAATTTTATTTTTACTTACAATTTTTCTATCTTGTTACATAGTCATCTTATTTGCTATTTATGTGAGTTTTGTAGAAAACCCTCTCTTTCAGTGGGTCTTGGCTGTTCACTGTTGATACATGATGAAGATAGTTTACTTCACCAATGACTGTATATAGAGTTGGGTGCCCTATGTTATAAATTCTGTACTTGCTCATCTATTTGTGCAGAAAGACATTGTGTAAAACTGAGAATACAGAAAGAGAATAAGGAATGAGACCCCCAGGAGCATAGAAAGAAGAGTTAGTGCAGTATAAAATAGGATGTTAAATAGAAGTAACTGTACTCATGACATAAAAATAATTTGGGTAACATTTTAAATACAAATGCTCACTGCTTATTCAAAAATTTTTCAGAGAGAAATTAGGCAACAACTAGCAGAAAAAGCTAAAGCTGGAGAACTAAAAGTCGTCAATGGAGCAGCAGCATCCCAGCCTCCATCAAAAAGAAAACGGCGTTGGGATCAGACAGCTGATCAGACTCCCGGTGCCACTCCCAAAAAGCTATCAAGTTGGGATCAGGCAGAGGTAGTATCTTTTTATTTATTATTATTTGAAAATTCTCTGTTACAGAGTAAAGGGTGTTCCTTTTGAAATACTAAGTTTAGACATGTAGGTACATCACATAGTGGAGGGTGAGTACAGTGTAGTGGTCATCCTCATTTTCTAGATGAATAATTTATGCCTTTGACCACATGCTTCAGTGTGCAGTGCTGCCACACTCCCTGAATTGGTTTACTTTCCTAGAGGACTTCTTTACACTGTCAGACTTCATTAGCTACTTCACTTTTAGTTGATGATTTTGCTTCTTTTTTCTTCAAAATATGAACAGTCAAAGAAAACGTCTGCATTTTCCCGCCGTAACATCTACAGTTTTGTCTCTTACCCGCTCTCATCTACTCTGCTTCCCCAGCTGTTAGGATATGAACTGTTTGTGCAAGTTGACCATCTAAAGCTAAGTATCCAACTAATGCTCCATTTTCCGTCTCCTCTTGCTTACTCAAGGACTCTTGTGTAACATCAGTTTTTTTCTCTTCCACCAGCAAACATGTTCTATCGTTCTGCATCTCTTAAAAAAAAATCCTGCAGAAAACCATCCCTTGACTCTCATATCCGCTTTCAGTTACCATCCCATTTCTCTCTTTTTTACTGCAAAATACCTTGAATGAGTTGTCTGTAGTTGGCTGTCTCTGCTTATCTGTCTTTTGCCTGCACCACTTCACCAAAACATGTCAGGGTCATGTGACCACCTTGTTGCTAAATCCAGAGGTTTGTTCTCAGTCTTCATATTACTCAGCATTTTATTAGGTATGACTTTGAAACCCTTTTTTCTTTCAGCCTTTGGGCTTCAGTCTCTTGGTTCTCATACTGTCCTTACTATTCCTCCTTAGTCTCTTTTGCTGGATCCTCCTTGTCTTCCTTTGAACTTCGGGTTGCTCTAGTGCTCAGTCTTTGGACCTCTGTTTCATCTACACTCCCAGGATTTCGTCCGTGTCCTTGAAAGTGTTATCTTTATACAGACAGCTCCCAAATTTTTATAAATATAACCCATATCTCCTCTGTTCTTCAGACTTGTATGTTTGTTCAACCTGACACGTTTACTTGGGAGCCTAATAAGCATTTCAAAATCAGTATTTCTGTAGTAAAATTAGAATTCCTTCATTCTCTCCCTCCCCTCCAGCTTTCTCCTATGGTTTTTCCTGTGTCTGTTTCAGGCCAAACACTTACAAGTCAATCATTTAGAAATCATCCTATACTCTTTTCTTTTTCCCTTATTCCGTATCCTATCTGTAAACAAATTTTGTTGGCCTAACTTTAAATCTATTCAGGATCTAACCATTTTTCATAGCCCCCGTCTCCACCACACCAGTCTGAGCGATTATCAGCTCTAGGTTAGCCTACTGCAGATTTACTTACAAATCAAGAAAAACCTGTCAGACTATGGTAGTATTTTCACAAACTCAGAATTGAAATATAGTATACCGAACACATAATTCTGAACTGTTTATTTTAAGATAGATCTTGAGGAATTCCCTTTTGCTTGCTGTTAGATGAATTGAGAGAATTTGGTTCTGCTGAATATAAGTAATTACTAATTCTATGGTTGACATCTAGTGCTAAATTTTGAAAGTTGGAAAAGAGAAACTTACCTTCCTAGTATCTGATTAACTGCATGCTCATTATAACTGGACGCAAGAGTTGATGTCTTTCTTATAAGTTAGAGATTCAAACCATGTTTTCTTTCATTCTGCTCATTTAATACAACTCTGCCTTAAGTCATGACTTTGGAATTGCAGTGGATGCTAGGAAGGATTTATTTCCCACCTTCCTTTCTAATTCAGCAGGAGGGGCAGCTGCCGAAAGATGAGTTTTTAAACAGTGTATGTGCTTCACTTATCTAATCCAGAATTTCTCGGTTTTGAGTAATACATAGAATCTTTTTAAAGGAAAATATATTCAGTCTTAAACTTGTAAATGTTATTATGCAAATTTGCAAACATAATAAAGCTAGATAAAACTCGTGTAAGAGCATCCGTTAAACAAGTGTACGCAATATACTACAAAACTTGTAGAGTACTCAACGAGTCAATACTTAAGTAACGTTTTATTTTGTTTACACTAAGTCCCTGCTGTGTCGATACAGTATTGTCTGCACTGTGCAGTTTCTTGTGATAGCATTGCTGTTTGATGCCCTAGATCACTCAGTACTTGTCTCCATTTTAACTGCTATGGAACTTTTGATCACTTCAGTCTACTTCTAATCTTTTTTTCATTAATCTTGTCAGCATGAGTTAGGGTGATATTGTTTTATGAAAACATGGTCGTAAATATAAACTTATCTAAAGGATGGAAATCATGTGGCAGTGTCTGGTCATAATTACTTAGGTGGTCAGAAAACATGCTTGTATTAAACACATGTACATAAAATAAAAAACAATTGCTGTTTATTAATTTCAACTCATGACAACCCCATGTTGTGTTAGAGTAGAACTGTTTTCCATAGGCTTTTCAATGGCTGATTTTTTGGAAGTAGATCACCAAGCCTTTCTTCCAAGATAACCTCTGGATAGGTTAGAATTTACAGCCTTTAAAACACAAAAATAGTATTTCTTAGAACTCATGGATTCCCTCTCCCCTCCAAGCCCCCATTTAAGAAGTAGTGATGTAATTAGAGCTGAAATTCTTCGATTGCAGATCTAGATATAGAAACCTTACTTATTTTCCCAGAGTCACAGAGTTATTAGCGATATATTCAAGACTCATACCCAGAATTTTTTTTTTTTTTTTAAGTCAGGGCTTTTTTCACTGTACAAATTATAGCTTTAATTGATTTTGCTCATAAACATATTTGCTAGAAGGTAGGTATCTTAAGTAGAAAGATAGTCTACTGTAATTCTTAATTATAGTGACTAGAAGTAGAACATTTGTTTAAGTTTTTTTTTTTTTTTAAACATATTTTGTAGTTATTTCTATGTAGGTGTGTGATTTTTTTTTTGGCTTTTTTAAGACTCCTGGGCATACCCCTTCCTTAAGATGGGATGAGACACCAGGTCGTGCAAAGGGAAGCGAGACTCCTGGAGCAACCCCAGGCTCGAAAATATGGGACCCTACACCTAGTCACACACCAGCGGGAGCTGCTACTCCTGGACGAGGCGATACACCGGGCCATGCGACACCAGGCCACGGAGGCGCAACATCTAGTGCCCGTAAAAACAGATGGGATGAGACCCCCAAAACAGAGAGAGGTACTTCACTTCTAGTGGAGTCTGGACATGTGCTTGGGTTAAATGTTGACTAGATGAGTGAGATGTTTCAAGCCTGAAATCTGTTCTCTCTAGCCCTAGTTGGACAAGTAAATAACCAGCTGCTTTGGGGATAGATAAAGAACTAGATCATATGCCTGATATTTTTCCTTGGGGACGTTTAAGATTTATTTCAGGAAGAACACCGGGAGAGGAGAGTTTGTAGACCATAGCATCATGTTTTTTGTGTAGATAGTGTGTAGATAGTGTAAAGCTATAATTTAATTAACTTTATCAGAGTAGTTGCAGCAAGTTGAGATTTAATAGTAAATCTGCTTTATTAAAATTTTATAAATAATTCTAAATGACATTTGAGAGTGCTTAATACGTAATGGAGGAAAGAAACGGTTAAAAGCTTGAATCCGGAGTAGCTCAGCTGCATGGACAAATGAAGGAAGTGGTTCAAGGTACATGTAGTGAGTGTCCCTGGGTGGTTAGAATATTTTGTTATGTTTTCCTGTTCCTCGATTGTTAGTTTGTATTGTTATTGTAATCTGTGGAAAAGAAACACTGAAAACAGTGAAAAGTAGATAAATATGCAATGGAGCATAAAATGGAGACCATTTTAGGAATGTCCTGTTTCTGAACTTGAGCATTTTGAGTATGTCAGCAATTTGAAAATAAACAATATTGTTTTGACCATGGTTGAAATTGTGGTCTTAATTCTCTTTTTCTTTCACTTTAAAGATACTCCTGGGCATGGAAGTGGTTGGGCTGAGACTCCTCGAACAGATCGAGGTGGGGACTCAATCGGTGAAACACCAACTCCAGGAGCCAGTAAAAGAAAGTCACGTTGGGATGAAACACCAGCTAGTCAGATGGGTGGAAGCACTCCCGTTCTGACTCCTGGAAAAACACCAATTGGCACACCAGCCATGAACATGGCAACTCCTACTCCAGGTAGAAACTTTCTCATTGGAAATAATTGTTTTTTTCTTACTGAAAATATTTTGAAATTTTTCTTTCTGGTTTTTTGTGTGCTGTTAATGCCATTTTTTAGCAAGGATAAGGGATATGAAAATAAGTCTTGGTTTGAGTTTATAATACAAGAGCAATTAAATATTAGGGCTGATCTTAACTGTCTTATACCCAAGGATCTATGTAGTGATACAGTTTTGCATTATAGATTGTTACAGAAATTTGCTTTTTTTGATAGGTCACATAATGAGTATGACTCCTGAACAGCTTCAGGCTTGGCGGTGGGAGAGAGAAATTGATGAGAGAAATCGTCCACTTTCTGATGAAGAATTAGATGCTATGTTCCCAGAAGGCTATAAGGTAATAACAATGAATATTGAATGTGAATTTGATTTGATTCTTTAAATTATTTGGCAGTTCAAGTTTGCCTTGGCCTTACCCAAATTTACTGCTGCCATTCCATTCCTATAGCTATTTCCAAGTATATTTAGGTTTCAAAAAGTAACGTGGAAATGAAAAGAAATGAACGACATGAAGCTTTTACTACTTTTTGGAATGGAGAAATCCGAAAGACTTCTAGGGGTCTACAGACCTTACTTTGAGAACTGGTTAAAGCTCACATTAGATCATGGTTATTTTACTTGGTACCTCACAAGATCTTGTGTATTTAAGTTATGAGTTACCACAACGCATATTCTTTACCATAGCAATGTGAAGTTTATTTTAAACTATAGAATTTTTTAGTCCCGTGGCGCTTGGGAATATTTGTTGGTCCAAAGGTAGTGTCTTTAGTCAGATAGCTAGTTACTGTCATGCTAGAATTGGAACCCAAGTCATCTGAAAGCTTTTGCAGAGGCCTTTCTGCTAATGACCGTTGCTTATCACAGTTTGTGTGTATGATGTTGTTTTTTTCCTGTTAGGTTAATATTAGAATATTTACGTGTGCATTTTTTGATTTTTGCTTTGTTAACTTCTTTATAGCCTCCACATAATGCAGTGAGTATAGACACTCACAACCTACTATTGACTGCTTGAGTGACTATCACTTACCTTCATTGATTTCCCCGTATTAGTGGGAGGGGAGAATCATATTAATATAAAAAAGGGTAGACCTTTAAGTCCTTAATTTCTGAGTGATGCCAGTGGCCTTGACTTTGATTTCATAGATCTCTAATCTGTAGAATAAAATTCCAAATAATTTTTCAAAATAATTAGTGATCTATGCTGGTGTATATGTTAACAAAGAGTATAAAAATAATTGGATAACAAAATTCAGATAGTATCAATACTTATTATAATTTAATGTTTGTTCTAATAGAAATTTTTAGACACAGCAGCTTAGGCTTTTTGGAAAAGACTTTTATAGGTTTACTGACCTGTCCTGGAATTTGTGTTAAAAACAAATTTTATACTAGTGTAAAAAATTTTTTTTTTACAGAAGTCTTTTTTTTTTTTTAATTTATTGTAAAAATATAAAGAACACACACCTTTTAAAAACATTTTGTTGATTTTGCAAAAGATTTAATCTAACAGCGTATATCATACAAGGTTTTTTGGTAAATACTTTGTTTTTACTTTTTGTGCATTTAACTCATTTTTGTAGAGTTTTAGGCTTAGATATTAAGGTTTGCTCTTATAGCACGGGTTTATGTAAATAATGTTTTAATAAAATTTAATGTTTTACATGTTCTTTATGTACACCTTGTGAGCTTATTTCCATTGATGGGAATACTGTACATGAAATATTCCATGCTTTTAGAGAGGTTTTTTTTTGGGAATCACTGACTCAGATTTTATAATTTCAGAATTTCTTTATGATTTAAAATGTTGGCTCACTAACATTTTACATAGATTAATGTTTGAAAGTGATCAGAATTTTATAAATCTGCCATTTATTTCATTTCCTCACAACCCTAATACATTTTGTATTAATTAGTGGATGAGAAATATGAAAATTTGTCATAAATATTTTGAAAATAATAAGATAGAAGAAAGGGGATAGGTGTTAATTCTTCTCTCTAACCAAGCAAAAACCTTCCTAGCTAGTAAACTTTAAAATATTTTAAGTTCAGATATTATTTATTATGGTGTTCCTTAATTTATAAAGTTATGAAAATCCTAAACTGCCTTTTATCTGTATTAGGTACTTCCTCCTCCAGCTGGTTATGTTCCTATTCGAACTCCAGCTCGAAAACTGACAGCAACTCCAACACCTTTGGGTGGTATGACCGGTTTCCACATGCAAACTGAAGACAGAACTATGAAAAGTGTTAATGACCAACCATCTGGAAATCTTCCATTTTTAAAACCTGATGATATTCAGTACTTTGATAAACTATTGGTAAGTAGTGATAGCAAAAATAAAAATGTTACATTTTGTTTGGGAGTTATAAATCATAGGATCTCATCCTAAAAATTTTTTCTTTATGATATCAGGTTGATGTTGATGAGTCAACACTTAGTCCGGAAGAGCAAAAAGAGAGAAAAATAATGAAGTTGCTTTTAAAAATAAAGAATGGAACACCTCCAATGAGAAAGGTGAGTACTAGTTCATTAAATCATTATGTTCATTATATTTTTATGTTTAGAAATTTATAATTAATTTCTTCGTGTTTATCAAGGGTTTTTATCTAAGATTTTTGTTCTAATAAGAATGCTGAAAAATGAGACTCTACTTTTGTCCTTAAAGCCTTTAAAATGTTAAGACTCAGAGCTAATTAGTGGAATTATGTGGGGAATTGTATTAGCATTCCAGGGCTCCTAATTAGCATTATATGTAACTTATAAAAGGTAGATTATTTAGGGGAAATTAAAGCATTTGACACTCTTGTGATTTCGTTGTTCTACTAAATCACCTTCTTTGAGTTTGAAAAATGTTGAATTTCTGTAGCAGGAGTTCAAACTTCAGACTAATTTTGATAGGATGGAACTCATGGCTGCTCTTCGCAAAATGTTTGTGACATGTGATTCAAAATGCTTGATTGTTAAAAAAAAAAAAACACTGTTTAACTCTACTGTTTTTCCAGGCTGCATTGCGTCAAATTACTGATAAAGCTCGTGAATTTGGAGCTGGTCCTTTGTTTAATCAGATTCTTCCTCTGCTAATGTCTCCTACACTTGAGGATCAAGAACGTCATTTACTTGTGAAAGTTATTGATAGGATATTATACAAACTCGATGACTTAGTTCGACCATATGTACACAAGGTTTGTTCTTTTTAAGTAGTGTTTCTAATGGTTTGATATTTTTATTTTTTAATATAAAAGGAATTCATGCTTTTTTTTTTGTAACAAGATTATGTTTGTATATTTGTGAAATTTAAAAATTCTAAAAAAGTGATAGCTGGTACTATAAATTCATACTAGAAAAGTCCAAGCCTTTGCAAGCCACCTTTAGAGTTAACCAATATTAGATTTATATACCCTCCCAGACTTTTTTCTTTGCACAAGCATGCATTACACACATATAAATATATGTATATGTAGGTGTTAACTTTTTACCAGCTTTACCATAATGGATTCAGTCATATTTTTTCATTTGCTTTTTCTGACATTAGTGTGAGAAAAAGTTATGTCACTATGTTCTGCCTTTTAGTGTCAAGAACCATCTTTTTAGCTGATGGTAATTATCGTTTAGAATTGCAAGATGTAGGTAGTTGTGTAGGGTTTTTTATTGTTGCTGTTGTTCTTTAATACTGAATATTTGTTAGTCTGTGCAGTTAGCAGTTCCCACAAATTTTCATGTTTGTTCTGAGGTTTGAAATTCTGTAATTAAAATTCTTAAACAGTCCCTTGATTAACAAAGGCCTAGTAGTAATTATGAATGTCCTATATATATTGAATTCTGTTGCATTAATTGCTGTAAAAATAAAGCTCCTTCTCTCCTGTTTGTTTTTTTTTCCTCCAGATCCTTGTCGTCATTGAACCACTGTTGATTGATGAAGATTACTATGCTAGAGTGGAAGGCAGAGAGATTATTTCTAATTTGGCAAAGGTATTTATAGTAAATTTCTAGAGAAGGAAGTTTTAAATCTGTTGATGGGAATTACTTGTTTATAGGAGGGAATGATTGAGGGTTAACGTTATCAACTCATGGCTGTTAACTTTTCTTGTCCTTTTAGGCTGCTGGTCTGGCTACTATGATCTCTACCATGAGACCTGATATAGATAACATGGATGAGTATGTCCGTAACACAACAGCGAGAGCCTTTGCTGTTGTAGCATCTGCCCTGGGCATTCCTTCTCTATTGCCCTTCTTAAAAGCTGTATGTAAAAGCAAGAAGTCCTGGCAAGCAAGACACACTGGTATTAAGATTGTACAGCAGATAGCTATTCTTATGGGCTGCGCCATCTTGCCACATCTCAGAAGTTTAGTTGAAATCATTGAACATGGTAAGTCGTAATATAAGTTTGTCTCTCCTTTGTAAGACAAAACTGTGCTGAAATTTGGGCTGCCAATTTGGGGAGATTAATAGAAGGGCTTTAACTACATAAACACCATATAATGTATTTTCTGATGAGGTTTTTAATATTATCTTCTAACCGGCTACTGAGTTTTGCCGTCTGTTAATACTTCATGTGAACAGGTTCTGCAGTTTTACTTTTGAGTAAAACTTTAGGTATATTGCTAGAATCTAGATGGCATTATAGAAATTAGGTAATATTAAACCCATTGCCTTCCTCTGTTCCAACTCATAGTGATCCTATAGGACAGCAGAACTGCCTCATGGGGTTTCCAAGGAGCTGCTGGTGGATTTGGACTGCCGACCTTTTCGTTTGCAGCCAAGCTCTTAACCACTGCACCACAAGGGCTCCTAGGTAATATTAGTGCTTAGTTAAATCGTGTGTTTGGTTTTATAGGTCTTGTGGATGAGCAGCAGAAAGTTCGGACTATTAGTGCTTTGGCTATAGCTGCCTTGGCTGAAGCGGCGACTCCTTACGGTATCGAATCTTTTGATTCTGTTCTAAAGCCTCTATGGAAGGGTATCCGCCAACACAGAGGAAAGGTAGATCCATGAAGTAGATTTTATTTTTATTTTTATTTCTACTCATTAAAGTTAAGGCGACTTAAATGTAATTTACTAACGTACGTTTTTTATTTTAAAATAGGGTCTGGCTGCTTTTTTAAAAGCTATTGGGTATCTTATTCCTCTAATGGATGCAGAATATGCCAACTACTATACTAGAGAAGTGATGTTAATCCTTATTCGAGAGTTCCAGTCTCCTGATGAAGAAATGAAGAAAATTGTGCTAAAGGTAATTGTTCTAGAGTGTTTTTGTTCAAAGTTTGTTTATCTAAACTGAGTTTGTGTTTAAAGATTTTTTTTAAAGAAATTATTGTGTGTTAAACCAGTACTGTATTTATTATTATTTTTTAATCTTTTAGGTGGTAAAGCAGTGTTGTGGAACAGATGGTGTAGAAGCAAATTACATTAAAACAGAGATTCTTCCTCCTTTTTTTAAACATTTTTGGCAACACAGAATGGCTTTGGATAGAAGAAATTATCGGCAGGTGAGTGCTTATTGTTAAAATCTTCAAAAATGATTAGACTAATTTTTTAATAAATTTGAATACATTACATATTATTTTTTGCCCTGATTATCTCAGTTCATGTGTGCTTGATTGTGAAAGGAGATGGATTTTAGTCAACCAATTAAATAACCCAACTGTGAACATTGATGTCTTTGTCTAGTAGATTAAAAGCCTTAATCTGGCTAGGTGAAACCTAGATACAGTTTTACCTTATATCACCTTGATTTAGACTCATGTTTAAATTTTAAACCTTTCCCCTAAAGTTTAATAAATGGCATATTTTACTAGGTCAATAGAATCTTCAGAATATTCAGTTTTCATGATGCCTATTTCCTCACAAAAGCAATAAAAGTTTTTTTTCCCTCCCTCTTTTTAGTTAGTTGATACTACTGTGGAGTTGGCAAACAAAGTAGGTGCAGCAGAAATTATATCTAGGATTGTGGATGATCTGAAAGATGAAGCTGAGCAGTACAGAAAAATGGTGATGGAGACAATAGAGAAAATTATGGGTAACTTGGGAGCAGCAGATATTGATCATAAACTTGAAGAACAACTGATTGATGGTATTCTTTATGCTTTCCAAGAACAGACTACAGAGGTAATAATTCTTACGGCGAGTTGCCACTGGCTTTTGTATCTGTAGAAAAACATTACTTTTCAAACAAATAGTATCCCTAAGAAATAATTGAATTTGGGAAAAAAAAATGCTCATTTTCTTATTCAATTTCTACCAGAGATATTCTTCTACCTCAGGTTTTTACATTTGATTTTTTTTAAAAAGCTGATGTTTACATGGCTGGAAAAGATTGTTAGTATATCTCGATTGTTCATTGACAAAGAGACTAAATTGTAGTTCCCAGTGAATGTAGTCTTTTAATTTAACTTAGCCTTTTTTTTTCTTTTTAGGACTCAGTAATGTTGAATGGCTTTGGAACTGTGGTTAATGCTCTTGGCAAGCGAGTCAAACCATACCTGCCTCAGATCTGTGGTACAGTTTTGTGGCGTTTAAATAACAAATCGGCAAAAGTTAGGCAACAGGCAGCTGACTTGATCTCTCGAACCGCTGTTGTCATGAAGACTTGTCAAGAGGTAACCTTTTGTACCAGATTCTTATTTCTTCACCAAATAGTTTAATATAAATAGTAACATTTTAACATTATTTGTTTCATTATAGGAAAAACTGATGGGGCACTTGGGTGTTGTTTTGTATGAGTATTTGGGTGAAGAGTACCCTGAAGTATTGGGCAGCATTCTTGGAGCACTGAAGGCCATTGTAAATGTAATAGGTATGGAATTTGATGGTCATGTAAGAAATCTTTTGTTTGTTTGGTTTTTAACTTTCTTTGGTTTTTAAAAAGTAAATTAAGAATCATTTAGGAGCTGGGTAATAATTTCTAATACTTTTTTTTGTCACTTTTAAGATTGTAGTTAAGTCAGGGCATATCGCAAACGTCTTTGTCACCCAAAACCCATTTATATTTTACTTTAAAGGGGGAGAAAAGGTCAAGTTTAGAATCTACAGGAGAGGTTGGAGTAGTAACAGCTCAAAAACCTTCCAAGTCATGGAATGGAGAATCCTAGTAGAAATGGTGTTCTAGCTGTAATATATTCTGCCATGCTCGAGGGAAAAAAGACAGCTCTGAAGTTTTAATCTAGTTTTAGAACAAAATATTATGTATTCAACCTTGAATTATGTAGTGATTATAGCAGGTTTTTGGCTTGCTGTCAAATTCAAGGAACATAATCAGGGAGAAAAGTTAAATAAATTATTATCTTGTTTTTATTTATATCCAAGTTTTTAAAACTACCCACTTAGTTTTCTAATTCAAAGTAAAAACACAAGCATATTATAAAATGATCATGGATGTGGAAAGCAAAGCTTTTATTATTTAAGACCGTTAAGATGAAGCAAACAAATGGTCTCTCATATTTACTCCTATTGCCAAAAATAACTTCTGCATGGCTTAGAGGGGCTGAAATAACCTAGTAAGAGGTCAGAATAGCTGGCTGTGTTAGCCACTATTTTTCTCATTTTAGTAAGGGGTTTTTACGGAATGTAGGAGCTCTTTAAAGTATTTCATTTACATACAACCCCCAATTCAGCCCATTCTTTTATGCTTGAAGATAGCTACTTGCCAAAAATCACTTACTTGGCCACTTGTGGGTCTCTGGTTTGCAGGGTGTTGTAAACCATATTGTTTATTAGGGAAACATGGGAAAAAATAATGGAGAGAGAAGCAGAGCAAGCAATTCTAGTTAGAGCAAGAGCCCCTGCCAGCTGCCTCCTTTTTTCTCTCTTCATAGGTGTAAATACCATCCAAGTATGCCCTGCATTGCAGGGAGACTGGAGATCTGTTTGTTTTGCAGTTAAAGGGTAAGGGGGCCCTTTCTGAAAAATTTTGCTTTAATTTACATGTCTATCTCTGGCTTATATTGTTGTGTATGGCCGGAACATAAGCTGTCCCCATATTCAAATGTCAGTGTACAAATACATTTCAAAACCAAGTAAAATTTTTTGTTATTGAATATTCATCATTCTTTAAATCACTTCACTAATTTCTTTCATTTATATGCATAATCAGAAGTTGTTAATAAAAAGTTATAAACAATTCTGAGTCTGGTCAGAATCTGGGCTGTCTCTTTCCATAGGAGCTGTAGTTTATATTTATGCCTGGTCATGTGTATTACATTGCTAAGGAAAAGGAAACATGAACAAAAGTTGCAATTCAAATATTAATTGATAGTTTGTTGACTTTTATTATATAGGTATGCATAAGATGACCCCACCAATTAAAGATCTACTGCCTAGACTCACCCCCATCTTAAAGAACAGGCATGAAAAAGTACAAGAGAATTGTATTGATCTTGTTGGACGTATTGCTGACAGGTAAACAGATTAGCTAACATTTATATAAGCAGTATCGTTTTTCAGATTTAGCCTCTTACGAAAATTTGCTTAGTGTTGCTCACATACAGATGCATTTATGGTCAGGTTATCTGGTATTAATATTTTCAGTGAAGTTGCAATTTGTATGATAATGGGGGTTGGCAGTTTTAAGACTAAACCAGCCTTTCTTCAGGATCTTAAAACCTTTATGCTTAAAATGAGTTAATAACGGTTTGTGCAGTGGTTATAGCACTCAGCTGCTAACCGAGAGGTCGGCCGTTCGAACCCGCCAGTCTCCCCAACCATGGGAGAAAGATGTGGCAGTCTGCTTCCGTAAAGATTTACAGCCTTGGAAACCCTATGGGGGCAGTTCTGCTCTGTCCTGTAGGGTCACTATGAGTCGGAATCAACTCGATGGCAGGGGGTAATGTCATTAAAAATTATCTTTTTTTTTAAGACTAGACTTAATGGTCTGACTGAGACTGGAGGGACCCCGGAAGACGTGGCCCCTGGACTCTGTGTTAGCCCAGAACTGAAACCATTCCCAAAGCCAACTCTTCAGACAAAGATTAGACTGGACTATGAGACATAAAATGATACTTGTGAAGAGAGTGCTTTTTAGCTCAAGTAGCTACATGAGACTAAATGGCCAGCTTCTGTCCAGAGGCGAGATTAGAAGGCAAACAGGGACAGGATCTAGTTGAATGGACTTGGGAAATCTGGTGTAGAAAGGAGGAATGTGCTGTCATAGGGAGAGCAATTAGGGTCACATAATAATGTGTATATAAATGTTTGTATGAGAAACTAACTTGAACTGTAAACTTTCACTTAAAGCACAATAAAAAATTTAAAAATTTCCGTTTTTTTTTTTAAGGGGAGCTGAATATGTGTCTGCAAGAGAATGGATGAGGATTTGCTTTGAACTTTTGGAACTCTTAAAAGCTCACAAAAAAGCTATTCGTAGAGCCACAGTCAACACATTTGGTTATATTGCAAAGGCCATTGGGTGAGTATTGCTTCCTTCCATATTTTTTATTTCTAATAAATCCATTTTGGTATTGAAAATTGCTTCTGTGTGTGTAGAATCCCTCTGAGGCATAGTATAAGTAATGCTGTTGAGAAAGCACTTAATTTAACCACTGACCTTACAGTTTTTGAAATGTTTGTTTAAATTTTAAATTGAATTGAAACAGTTGGGAGATTTTAAAAGTTTTCTTTACTCACACTTGAGATATTTTGGGAGGGAAATAGTACCATTTTGAGAATAATCACAAATTTTTGTTGGTCCTTTTTAGAGTATTGCTTGAAACCAGTTGTTAATGTCACAGTCAGCACAATTCAAGTCTCATATTAATAGAAATGTTCTAAGATGAATCTATAGACTCAATTTACTTGTAACCGTTTTATTAGATAATCTGTGGTTATTTGCTTTCACTCTGTCGGAAACAAACTGGGAGAAACAGTCATTATAGAAAATGAGACACTACATATGGCTTAGTAACTAAGAAATACAAAAGTTAGATTAATTAGTTTTCCCTTTTCCCCCTATTCCTCCTCCTCCTTTCTTGGTAACAGTAATGAATATTTCGGTGGTGGTGTAGTCGAGGAATTTGCAACACATCACTCTTGCACAAACTTTTTTAACCCCAGTGTCCCTCTGAACCTGTGGCAAAATTAATGCTTAATGAAGGGGAGAATAGATGCAGTAAAGGTGTGGGAGAGGGAGCATTAAGAAAAGAAAAACAGATTTTGTATGTGAGGGCATGGAGACCACGGTTTGAGCACAGCCGCCACCATAGGTGCCCATGTTTTGACAACTCAAAGAATTCGATTTAAACATTTAATTAAATTCCTTTACATTTCAGGAAATATAACTAAAGACTGGAAATTACATTTGAAAAGGAATCCATTAGAATTAATTTTTTTTCTTTAAAACCGACATTTTAATTTAGATGTTCTTAAGTTTATTAAGTTCCGCTTCTTTGCATTTTTTTCTTTCTCACTTGAAAAAATTTTGACTTGTCATTTAAGTTTGTTGACACGTTTTTTTTTTTCTGCCAGCCCTCATGATGTATTGGCTACACTTTTAAACAACCTCAAAGTTCAGGAAAGGCAGAACAGAGTTTGTACAACGGTAGCAATAGCTATTGTTGCGGAAACATGTTCACCCTTCACAGTACTTCCTGCCTTAATGAATGAATACAGAGTTCCTGAACTGAATGTTCAAAATGGAGTGTTAAAATCACTTTCCTTCTTGTTTGAATATATTGGTGAAATGGGAAAAGATTACATTTATGCTGTAACACCATTACTTGAAGATGCTTTAATGGATAGGTAAGTGACTTGAACTAAGTGAAAGAATTCGAATTCCTATTTTGTTTTAGAATTTATTGAAATAATTTTTAGATGACTCATCTAATAATTATCCTAGCCTTGATTTTTATTAACCTACATAGATGACTATTAATATTTTCAAATAATATATTTATGCTATAGTGGTTCCCAAAGTTTTCCAAGTCCCACCCTTTTTATTCCTTTTCATATCTATTACAGAGTAAATATATTTCAAAGAGCAGTAATTGATTTAACTTGTGTTTTAAAATTAATCAAATACAATTAGAGGAAATGATGAGCATGAGGTAAGTGTGGCAGAGACCTGATCTTTTTAGCTTTTTATTTCAGGTGAAGCGAAGCTTTCTGAACTACTGAATATAGCCCGCCAGAGCCACACTATTTCCATTGCAGACCCCCAGTTGTTCAGATGGTGACCACTGATACAATACTACTTGAGTTATTTGACAGTCAGGTTTCTGATACTTTTTCATTCAGCCATCTAGACAGACATGTAGCCTTGAACAGAAAACAACTGAAAGGAAAATGCAAGGTCCAAAGTAGTAAGAGAAAGGACTGTTTTCACTGGCTCTTTGTTTTTCTGGAGAGATAAGTTACCCATGTTAGAGTCCGTTCAGTTACTTTTGTGTACTGGTTAAAATTATTCAGGTTATTACAGTTAATTGCCTTCTAGAAGGGAAACTTGACAAGATTCAGTAAGTTACCAGAAGACGTATATATACCAGACATGGAGACAGACTAAGAATTGTGCTCTGTAAAAGCATAGCCACCTGGGACTGAGTAAAGTAGGGGTAAATCACCCATGTTCCATATTCCTCAGTGAGATCATCTGTAGCCTTAACCTTATTAGCTTCATAGTGAGGTGACTGTTAACGTGACCTTTAGTTACAAATTACTACCTGTTGAGGTAGTATCTCTATTGAACCTTACTAAATGGAAACAGTACTTTAGTTGGAAAGCTTATTAATGAGGAACACTGCTTCACTACAGTGCTGAAGAGATTAGACATTATTATAATAAAGAGAAAATTGGATGCTAGTAAGTACAAATATTTTTTCTTATACTTTCGAGGTATTCTTTTGAGAACAAAGATGGGAACTCATTTTTATACCCATCACAAACCCCAGTAGTTCAGTAGTCATTGTGGAATGACTAACTCAATGGTTTGTCAGAAGTAAAAGTTCAGTTAACATAGGAGATGGTAGAGATCTTATTTCTGTAGGTTTGAGAAAAATTATTGCTCCCTTTTTTCTTCTTTCCCCAAATTAAGTTCTACTCTTTTTGAATGAAATGTAAAATTTACAAGGGGAAAGATTAGATTTTTATGTAGTTATTATATACTGAGGAGCCCTGGTGGTGCAGTGATTAAAGTGCTCGACTGCTAACCAAAAGGCCTGTGGTTCGAACCCACCAGCTGCAGGTGGTGGAAGAAGGATGTGGCATTCTGTTTCCATAAATATTTACAGCCTTGGAAACCATATGGGGCAGTTCTCTGTCCTTTGGGGTCACTGTGAGTCAGAACTGACTTGACAGGCAGTGGGTTTTTTTAGAGGGGTTTATTATATACTAGTATCTGAATTGCTATCAAAGATTTCAAGATTGTAAAAGATTACTGTTAATAATACATATGTAAGAGGCACATATTGTCCTTTTAGTAGCATATTAAAATGTGTAGTGTACCAGACTCTCTTGCTCATGTACTTTTTAAAGGTTAGTTAGAAAATATGGCTTACTTTTGAGCCATAGTGAGGTTTGAGTCATTAATGCAAAAGTTCTCAAGTAGAATGAGTCATTCTAAAAGTATATCAAATACACAAAAGTGTTAGGATGACTTCATATTTTCTCAGTGCATTGAATTAGTAGTTTAATTTCTAATGGGCAGATGAATATTTCCTGTAAAACTAAGACTGTCTTAACAATGAGGATTTTTTCTTATTACAGAGACCTTGTGCACAGACAGACGGCTAGTGCAGTGGTGCAGCACATGTCACTTGGGGTTTATGGATTTGGTTGTGAAGATTCACTGAATCACTTGTTGAACTATGTGTGGCCTAATGTGTTTGAGACTTCTCCTCATGTCATTCAGGCAGTTATGGGAGCCCTCGAGGGCCTGAGAGTTGCTATTGGACCATGTAGAATGTTGCAGTATTGTTTACAGGTAGGTTAAAGATTTTTAAAAGTTTATTCAATGAGGAAAGTAATTGAGCTTAACGTGTTGAATTAAGTCACTGTTCATAATTACTAATAGAGTATATCGTGCCAAATGGGAATACCGTTGTGCAAGTTGAGGGAGGATTAGATATTTATCTGTGCTCACTGCGAAAATGTTGTACAGTTGTCAGGTTTTTTGTTTCTTAATTGTGTTAAAGTTATGTGTGTTTTTGCAAATTGAAGTAATGTAACCTTTCGCTTATTCTAGGGTTTGTTTCACCCAGCCAGGAAAGTCAGAGATGTGTATTGGAAAATTTACAACTCCATCTACATTGGTTCACAGGATGCTCTCATAGCGCATTACCCAAGAATCTACAACGATGATAAGAACACCTATATTCGTTATGAACTTGACTATATCTTATAATTCTATTGTTTATTTTGTGTTTAATGCACAGTTGTTTCACACCTTAAACTTGCTTCAATTTGGTGATGTAAACTTTTAAACATTGCAGATCAGCGTAGAACTGGTCATAGAGGAAGAGCTAGAAATACAGTAGCATGATTTTTAAATAACCTGTCTTTGTTTTTGATGTTAAACAGTAAATGCCAGTAGTGACCAAGAACACAGTGATTACACAAACTATACTGGAGGGATTTCATTTTTAATTCATCTTTATGAAGATTTAGAATTCATTCCTTGTGTTTAAAGGGAATGTTTAATTGAGAAATAAACATTTGTGTACAAAATGCTAATTTGTGTGTGTTTTTTGAACATGACTTGTAAAATGAGGAACTTTGGTAAAGTATTGGTTTGTGTAGAATAAGTGACTTAATTTCATTTTCTGTCACCTGATTTATAGAAAGTAGTTAACAGAATGCAAACTATATAAAGTGATGGCATCTTTGTCAAAAGTAATAAAATCCCATTGTTCTGCTGATAATGACGGAAGAGTTGCTTTGGGGCTGTTCACTTGAAACTAGCACAACCGTTCCATCACCATAGAAAAGTTAGCACCTTTGCTGAACTGTCTTGAAGAATATTATTTTGTACTTACATAGCGCCTTTCATCTCTTGATTTCTCAAAATGCTTTACAAGCATGTAAAGGAAGCTATTCAAGTCATATCCAACTCTTGACATGTCTTTTAAAAAGTGGGAAAGGTATCTTTACTTCAAGACTGCTTTCTACATATTGGGAGTGAGGCTACGTAAGTAATGCTAGTAGAATAAGACAATCTTTGAGTTCTTTCCTATCTCATAAGCCAGTACTCAACAATGTATTATTCAACAAGTACCTGTTGAGTACCTACTGTTTGCCAGCCACTGTGCTTAGGTGCAGGGATGCAAAGGTGCATATAGCCTGCCCCTTGCCCTTGAGAAATGCAGTATAGTAGAAAAGGAAGAGACACATCTACTTACATGTTACTTATCTTACAGCTAAAATACCTAGATAGCTTAGTTTTGCATTTAGTAATTAGATAATAAATTGATCTATATGTCAAGCATAAACTGAAATGCCATTTAATTCTAGAGCAACCAAACATTAAGATAGTACTTAATATTTTCTTCCAGATATTTTAAGTATATTTGTAGCTTTTTGTAACATTTTATGGCCAAAAATTTCTTTGAGTTTTAGTCCTTTTACTACGTGTAGCTGTTTTCTTTTGTCTCCCTTTGTTAGTACTTTGTGAACTCTAATGGAAAATGAGAGCCTGTGGCAGTGGGTTAGCATATGATGACTCTGCCATATAAGTAAAACTGTTATACTGGGATTAGGAGGTTTGTGACTTGTACTATTAACACTTGGGGCTCTGTTTTGGAAGCTTACACAAGAAGCAGCTTGTAACTGGCTGGCTTTTAGAAAATTGATACTGAGCATTAGCTGACTCTCCAAACAGAGTTTGTGACTGTTCCTTGTGTGACATAACTTTCTGACAACATTTCAATGTGTAATAAAATTAGACACAAATTCCAAAACTCTCTAGAAGTTTTCATAACAGACCCCCTGCAACTTTAAATCTTGCTGTTGTCTGTAGTTGATGTCAAATGACCTTTGGTAATAGCTAATCATGAGGATTTAAGGATACAATTAGATTTCAAAGCCAAAATATGATTTTTAAGTCAGTCCTGGGAATATTTAGTTATATTTTCAATTCTAGTACTTGGATAACTTTAGTTTGCTTGGCCTCTTGCTGTATATGGAAAACAGGCTTTGTAGTGGTAGAGTGGAGCAAACGAGACTACTGCACCTTGAGTGACTACCGATGCAAATAATTTGAGGATAGAGAAGTGAGAATACTGAAGGCTTCAGCCTTAATTGGGACCAAATAGACTCACGGATGTTTGAATTATTTTATATGCTTATTACTGAATAATGAAAGCATTTTGTGATACACTTACATGAAAGACGCTATGTGAAGTTTTAACTTTCAAAGACCTATTCTTTTGCACTTTCTTTCAGTGTTTCTTAAAGCCAAACTTAAACAGGAGGAAGTTAATGTTCTTAAGGGGATAGAAGGTGGGTTTTTCTGTGGGCCTTTGTTTGTTTTTCTGTGGGCCATTGCCCTCTAATGGAATCGATCTCTGGCTGTTTGATTTTTTTCATATTGTATTTTTTAAATTTGTTGTACGGTGCCCTGTGAGCATCAAGTACCACCAGATGAATAAAACTTATTATATCTAAAATTTTAGTAGACCAATTTTTAATCTTAGTTGACTCCGTATTATCACACTTGGTTGTGGTTGTGCCGTTTTAATAATATTGAGCTCTTTGGGTTGTTTTCCAAACAAGGGAACTTAATGTTGGAAAAAAACCAAAGAACTTTTTCATTAAATAAAAAACTGAAAAAGGACAATTGCAGCCGTATAGTTTCAGTTGTTTGGTTTTTTGGTTTCTAGTAGCTCTTAAATCCCAAAAGTTTAAAAGAAACAAAAGCAACAGCTATCCCAGGGTTTCTCAACCTCAGCATTATTTTGGCCAGATAATTGTGTTGTGTCCTGTGCATTGTAGGATGTTGAGCAGGATCTACCCGCTAGATGCCAGTAGCACCGCCCCCCCCCAAGGCAACCAAAAATGTCTCTAGCAGCAGTTCTCAAAATTTATTATACATAAGAATCACTTGGGGATCGGACTGAATTAGAATCTACAGTTAACAAGATCCCCAGGTGATTTTTATGTAAATTTTGAGAATAGCTGCTCTACTAGTGGTTCTCAGAATTGGTCCCTACTCCCTAATCAGCATTAGCATCACCTGGTACCTTACTAGAAATGCAGATTCTCAGCAGGGGTGCCAACCAGAACGAACTGGTTGGGAGCCCTGGTTTGAACCACCGACCTTTCGGTTAGCAGCCCACTTAATCACTATGCCACCAGGGCTCTTCTATTAAGATTGCAGTCTTGGGAACCCTATGGGGCATTTTGTCCTACTCTGTCCTATAGGGTTGCTATGAGTTGGAATGGGTAAGAGAGAATTTAGGTTTACAAGATAGGCTAGATTTGTAGGCAGGAGGAAGTAATTATAACTAGAGAGCGTAGGTGATATCTTTAGTGTTCATGCTAGAAAAATTTTAAAATTTATTCTTGAGTTTTACTTTGGATTCTAAAAAGATTGTAAAAGGATATCCTTGCACATAATGTTGGACAAATAGATTTTTTTAATGGCCCTACTGATAAAAGTTTTTTGTTATTTTTTTTATTGTGGTAAGTGTATATATATTTGCGATTTCAACATTTTTTACATGTACAGTTCAGTAACATTAATTACATTCATCATGTTGTGCAACCATCACGAAGGCCATTATTATTGCTAAGCAGCAGCCCACTGAATAAATATGCCACATTTTTTTTTTATTTATTTTACTTCAGGTGAAGGCTTACAGAACAAATAGTTTCTCATGAAACAGTAGTACACATATTCTTTTATGACATTGGTTAACAACCCTACAACATGTCAACCCTCTCCCTTCTTGACCTTTTTGGTGAAAATATACATAGCCAAAGATACACCATTTCAAAAATTTCTACATGCACAGTTCAGTGACATTGACTATGCTCTTCCAATTGTGC